AATGAYGTGTGAAATATATAATAAGATATTTTTGTTCATATGATAGATATATACACACGTTTTTGTGTTTGTTAGAGCTAACAAATGGCATCTCCACCACCCAACACAAACACACGCAAATTAATTATATATTCAATTTCATAAAATAAAAAAATTACATTCGTTAATTAAATATCAAATATGATGAATTATACATTGTATTATATTATATTGTATAGTTTTTTATTTCCTATTTTGTTGGCCATTAATTAAATTTAAGCATAAGGGGAACCAAATGTCGTGCCAAATTTTACCTAACAAAGAGACCAAAGAGATTCAGCCAAACACGTTTGCTTGTATCAATGGAATTGCCCTTCAATGGCTTTCAATTTACTTTTCAAAATCTATATACTATTGAGAAGTTTATTAATTTGAAGTAACAATATACAAAAACCTAACCTTTTAAAACTATATCATAGAAAGAAAAATCAAATTTAATTTGAAATTGCATGGGCGACAATTTTTGTTCGTGAAGAAACGAACATTGAACGGTAGATATTGAACTTTATGAGTTGGATAATCACGAGCGGATTATGATGATGTCCGTGATAGGGTAAAATAACATASTTATGTCGTTCATTCTATACCTTCACTAATGAAAATGATATGTACGGTATACTTTAGTTTTATTGGTAGCGAATAATAATTAGTTAAATTTTAATTTTGAATTGTTTTAAGTTCAACAAGGAAACGGGGGTTTGAACTTCCGATAGGATATACGTCTTAACCAACAATTTCTTACATTTTAGATTTAAAATTTAGGAGTTATGAAGGGAAGATATCCCGGAGAGATTGTATTATTTCTATTTAGTTGTCTTTTATGTAAAAAGGACCAAAAAAATTGAAAATTTAGGACGTATCATATATTTTTAAAGTCTGRAAATTTATTAACAATATTTTAAATGACAGTATCGATGAAAATAGAGATAATATCCATAAAATGTCGATATTATTAGATATTTAAAAAGACATAAAAATAAAAAATCAATAACAAATATTTAAAACAACCAATAAGCATCTACTTTATTTAAATAAGTTAAAATTTATTAATATTAATATTATGTTCATATTAATGATATTTTGTTGATATATTTTATGGTACCATACAAATGTCGATTTACATTTTATATAGAGGGACACMAAATTCTGGACCAAAATATGAAGATACCATTCTAAAAAGTTAAACAAATCAAATTTATAATTTAAATAAATGAAAAAGCAACATCACCAATCAATAAAAAAATAATAATAAATAAAAAAAAGTCAACTAAATAGCTTCTCGTAAAACGTGTTCCAAAGAACTGAGTTTACGTTTTCTTTCCATGAGGGATTGTCCACGAACCAAAAGCCTAATCCTATTATTTTTTTTTAATGTTTAATCTTTTTTCTTAATAATATATATTTTTTCCTTCGGAGGCAAAAAGAAATCAATTTTTTTTTAAAATCAGATTCTTTTTGTTAAACGTGCATGCAATTTTTTCCCCGATTGGTTAGTTTAAATTTAATAAAATAATATGAATTATTTATTGAGCTAACTTTAATGGTAAGCGACTAACATGTGTGATTCGAAAATTCATGTCTTTGCCCTATTAATTCGTATATATATTTTCATTTATTTTATTATATAGTTCTTTTTCTGATAATTTAAATGAAAGAAATGTATAACGGTAGCTAATTTACCATATTTGTAAATATAGCAATAAATCTTTTATTTTGCAAATATTACAAAAATATTTGAAATATGGTTTTCATCTTTGTTGCTATTTTAATTTTATCCTTCAAGATTTTTCAGATATATATGTAAGATATATTAGCATTTTAAATAGAATCATATATATTAATGTTATTGATTCTCCATTAATATAACAAATCAGGTAAATTAATAGTATGTCAAATCATATATATCAAACCAATACAAAAATAATTTAATTGGTCAAGACATCTATTTATTTAAATGAGTATATCATTTTTTGGGTTGAATGTGTTATTAAATGTACGCTGGACTTTTACTTTCGATCGGCTTCCAAATTTTGATATTTTTGCAACATTGAAAGAGTTACTACTTTTGCAAATTATTATTAGTATTATTGTTATTTTCCTAATTTTGCAACYGTTCAAAAACAAATATTTTTTTTATAATATTTTGGTACTTGTACTTTTAAGAAAATTGATCAAATTGATCTTCATTTGTAAAATTTTAACACAAATTCTATAATCAACTTAAACCTTTTAATACAAATTTATGGCTACATTTTAAGAAATTTAGTGAGTGAAATATTGTGTTAAAATTATGACCAAATAAAATAAGAAAAAAAATAAAAATGAACAAACCAAAATGATTTATTTTCAAAAGTACGATGACCAAAATAGACATTTTGAAAATATAGAAACTAAAATAAAGAGAATAATAAAATACAAAGACCAAAATCAACAAAAGCCAAAAGTATTTAAACCTAAATTTTATCATGTAAGAAATGTAAAAGGATTAATATATATATATATATATATATATATATATATATATATAGTTTTAAATATAACAATGTGTGGGAGTAACCATCGAACCTATGACTTTTTGGTAAGGAAAAAATGAGCACATTTTGTAAATAGAATACAGTTATATACGATACGATACATTTTAAAGCTTAGAGATCATACCTTTCTCAAAAAGAGGGGAAAAAATCAATGTACTATAACGTGTGAAAAAACTAAAGAATCATGACGACTGCTGAACGAAACAAACATATGGGGACCATTTTATAGTAACACATCACAAGAGAATTTGAAAGGAAATTTATGAAGTTTCCAAAGTTTGGATTAAATACTTACCTTAATCTATAACAAAACCAATTAAAGTTGTAAATAAATCTTCCCCTTATAGAAAATTACAACATTTTACAAGCTAAAAACATTTGGAGAGATTCAATATACAATATAATGCATTAAAAATTGAAATATATCAAAACTTTCATATTTCTTTAAAAAAACAAAAATCATCCTATCATGCGATTTTTTAAATATAACATGTTGCAATATTCAATTCAAAATATATGTTTAAATTAACAAGTAAGCATTTTAACATTTGTATATGAGTTAACTGTTATTAATATTAATATTAATTTTATGTCTATATTAATGATATTTTGTTGTTATTTTTATATTGTTGTCGATTTTTTGTTGTGATACTATAGCAAGGTTGATATGTCGATGAAATTTTAATACCATCACGATATCATGACTTGTTTTCAATATTTGCATTTCTTTTTATCTCTGATAAATTTAAGGTTTCGCAACTCTCCTTTGATACTTTTGTCATATATAATTTTCTACTTGGTTTCTCAATTTCAACTTCTTATACAAAGTTATATCCTATTACTAACCCAAGTAGGTTAGAGGCACAATGAAATTAGAAGAATTGGTCCTATATTTCGATTTTTGTCTCTGAAGTCATTCTTGATTGATGGTTCCTATTAGCTCGAGTCTATATCAATCAAGCTGGAAACAGATGCAAAGGGTTTAGGCAAGCACTTGGATCAGCAGATTCGCTTAAGAAAGCAAATCAAACAAAAATGTCTTCCAGCTCTTTCCAAACAAAGAAAAACGCTGTTATCTGGAATATAATATAATAAAATTACGATTTTAAGTATTAAAAGACCCGACGAAGATTAATAAAAATTTAAGGACTCTGAGATCAAACTTTAAAGATCAAAATAGAACTTCAAATACTAAAAATATATTAAAGGATGAATAAAAATATAAATTTTATCTACTTTAAAAGGAACATAATCTAAAATAATGAAAATGAAAAGAGACCATTCTTACCAAAGAAATGCGCTTTACCATAAACAGGGCTGGAATTGCACTGATTCAATGAACCTACCAAAAAATAATAATAATAAAAAATAAATTTATCTTCTATTTTTACGGTGCTTGATCAATAATTCGTAATATTTATTTATTTGGTCTATTTCCATTTTTATGTGGGCCGGCCCCATGAGAACCCGCCCCCAAGTGGGGTGGAAATTTCCGGTTTAGATTCTCTACGGGACGGGGATGGAAAACGGGAACGGCTTTAAACTAATTCCGCATTACACATACGTGTGTTAAATGATTAAATCATGTAAATGAAATTTTATCATGGAAAATTAAACTATTAATAAGAAATTTCTTTTAAAATATTATTTAATTAAAATAGTATTAAAAATTAGAAAAATAAATGAAAAAATTTCTCATTGGAAATTCGATCCCAGTTACGAATCTTTGTCCCATAAAATTCGTGGGAAGTTTTGCAGGGATGGAAAATTAAATGGGAGGCGGAGACGGGATGGGGAAGGATTCCTCGTCCCCGTCCCGCTCTGTGATCGGTCCTGATTCACATCAATATTTATCATACTTGAGTAGATTTATTTTTATTTATTATTATTATTGGGGGAAATGAATAAGGGCCCCTTCGTAAACTAGATCGAGAAGGAAAAAAAAGATATTAATCAATTTATAAATTGGTAATATAATGGACGCAATAAAACACACATTTCGAAAATAAATATATATATATGAGTATTATTTCTGCATAAAAAAATTATTTACACCATTCAACTTGTGAGTAATCCAAAATTAAATTGATGGAACTTTCTAAAAAAAATGATGGAACTTCGATTTTATGCATTGATTTGTTGCAATTGGATATATTTTTTTTTTGTGAAATTAGTGGATAAATCAAACAAAAATCTAAAATAATAATACTTATTTAAGTCCTAAATGTAACGTATTTTTCAATTCTGTTCTCTCTCTTTCATTTTTAAATGCTCCTAAATGGAAATTCCACCATGTGAGGATAGAAAAATAATTTTTTTTTTTAAATACATCTTCAATTTTATTTATTTTATTTATCGTTGAAGAAATTGAATTATTTTATTTTATTTTTTTATTTATCCATCCCGACATGTAATCTTAAGGAATTTAATTACAATTTTGGGCGATAAGAAAAAAGAGTGGGGCGAAATGCGGTCGGAATGAAATTGAAATTCACGGCAAATGCAAATTCGGCTGAAATGCAAATTCTTATTAAATTCACGCGGACGCGTCATGAAAATCGGTGTACCAGAGGGAGTCGTCATCGCGAGAGAGAGAGAGAGAGAGACAGAACCGAGGGATTTTAGAGAGAGAAATCGCCGGCGTATCCTCGGGATTCCCGCCGGGAAATTAGTAGTTTAAAGCCGTGCTGCTTGTTTTTGACCGGAAAATGTTTCTAGAAATGGCGGAGAATTTAGACTGAAGCCTTGCTGTTCTGTGTCGTGTTCAACGCGGACGCCATTGTCGAGCTGCTTACCGGCTTCACTAGGAGGTATTACTAACAGCCGCGAACTGTCCATTATCGTCAATGGAGAGTTATTTCTTGATTTTTGTAAGGTTTTATAGCTGTTTATGTTGTTTCAGTGATTCTCTAGGTTCAGTCCGTGAAACTTTGTTTGTTTTAATGTGTTGCAGATTGTAGGGGCGATTGTCTGTGTTTAGGATTGGAATTCAATTTGGTTTGAACTGCGTTGGGAGTGGTGATTTAGGCATTTTTTCTTGAGCATTATCGTTTAGAGTTACTTTGGGGCGAAATGGGCGACACTGAAGATGCTCGTACTGATAGAAATCTTCAATGTTCGTTTGGAGCATCTTCCTCCTCAGCTGTGAAGCATCATTTCTCGATGGATCAACTTAAACTTTCTCAAATGAACTGCTCACAAGTTCGTCCACAGCACTTTCAGTCAAATTTTCTTGGAGAGAATAATAGGAGAATTGGGATTCCGCCTTCTCCCAACTCAACGCAGATCCCACCAATCTCACCGTATTCTCAGATCCCGATCTCCCGTCCGATGAACCAGCAGAGTTTCAACCCAGTGCCTACTCATTCTCGATCGTTATCTCAGCCTTCTTTTTTCTCTCTCGATTCTTTGCCTCCTTTAAGCCCGTCTCCATTTCGTGACTCCCCATCTACATCAAATTCAGATCAGGTTTCTGCTGATACGTCAATGGAAGATAGGGATGCCAGTTCACATTCTTTGTTGCCTCCATCACCTTATATGAGAGCCAATTCTTCTAAGATTGGAGATGCTTTACCTCCTCGTAAAGCACACAGGCGGTCTAATAGTGATATTCCTTTTGGATTATCTTCGATGATTCAGTCATCTCCTCTTCTCCCATTTAGTGGTTCGGGCGGATTGGAGCGATCAACAAGTAATAAAGAGAATGCGGGCATGCTAAGGCCGGCCAGTCAGTTTGTTAAAAGAGAACCCAGTTTGGAGAAAAGCGTTGATAACAATTTGGAAGGAATGGGTGAGAGGAAATCCGAAGGGGAAACTGTGGATGATTTATTTTCTGCTTACATGAATTTGGATAATATTGATTTGTTCAACTCTTCAGGGACCAACGACAAGAATGGTCATGAGAGTCGGGAGGACTTGGATAGTAGAGGTAGCGGAACAAAGACAAATGGGGGTGACAGCAGTGATAATGAAGCAGAAAGCAGTGTAAATGAAAGTGGGGATAATTCTCAAATTCCTGGATTGTATTCGTCTGCTGAGAAGAGGGAAGGGATCAAACGAACTGCGGGGGGAGATATCGCTCCAACTACCAGACATTACCGAAGTGTTTCCATGGATAGCTTCATGGGCAAGTTGCAGTTTGGTGATGAGTCACCCAAGATGCCTCCTACACCACCTGGTATTCGTTCAGGACAAATTTCTTCAAACAATTTAGTTGATGGCAATTCAACTCCATTCAGCTTGGAGTTTGGTAATGGTGAGTTCAGTGGGGCTGAACTGAAGAAAATTATGGCAAATGACAAACTTGCTGAGATTGCTCTAACTGATCCCAAGCGTGCAAAGAGGTATGTGCAAATTATATAGTCTGACTGATTTACTAACTTGGATTCATCTATTGATTTGTAATCTTGACTAATTGATTTACTTCAGGATCTTGGCAAACCGTCAATCTGCTGCTCGATCAAAAGAACGAAAGATGCGGTATATATCTGAGTTGGAACATAAGGTTCAGACTCTTCAGACAGAAGCTACCACACTGTCTGCCCAACTCACACTTCTACAGGTAGAGATTTTGTGTGATGACAATTATTTTCTATTATCATTTTCCTGCTGCTAAGCTCTCTCAGTTTTTTCATGATTACTTTGTATTCAGAGAGATTCAGTTGGGCTTACGAACCAGAATAATGAGCTGAAGTTTCGTCTCCAAGCCATGGAACAACAAGCACAACTACGGGATGGTATTGATTCTTATTCTCTTAATTATTTTCCTTCAATACCTAATGGCTAATTGGAGATTTCCCGTCAAAGCATTGAATCATGAGTTTTTTTGGTACCGTTCTAGCCTGATATTTTAGGAACATTTTTTTGTTTAGTACATTTATCAGGAAATGTGACTTGTTGTTTTGCATTATCATGACTTCAAGAATTTTTATTTTTAATCATTAGATATTGGTACAACTTAGCGGACCATAGGCCTCCTCTAACTATTAAGCCCCCTATTCCTTTTTTATTGTACATTTAGCCTGAACTGTCAGCATCCTCTCTCGCACATTTTAATTCAGAACTCATACGAATATCCTACCTCCCGTTCTTCTTGGACGTGAGTCTAATCTGTATCTAACATGCAAGAGAGTGACTGCTAAAGCAGTTAGATTAGAACTTGATGCTTTCTGGAGGAAGAGACATCTTCTATGGTCAGCGGGTGAGAATTTGTAAAGTTGGCATCTTTCTCTCTATCATTAAAGACTAACCGTTGGAATATTCTGGCTTCTCCTAAAGTTAATTCAATAGCCCCTCTGAACCTTTTATCATGTCCTTTTATTGAAGCACTATCCTGTTCAACCTGACTGATCACTCTCAGGTTTACCTTTCCAACCCTTGCTCAATGTGGGTGGGTGGTGATGCTATGCCCTCCTGGTAAGTTGAAACAACTGGGGTATTTACCCTCTTAACCATGCTAGGAAGAGGAAAGAGATTCTTACCAGTGCCTCTCTAATTTTGTGGACAACTCGATTTTTTCTTCAAGTTGAAGCTCCTCCTTGCAAACATAGAAAATGGATATCATTGATGACTCACGTAATAGAGATCTGACTAAACGGCTAAAAAGTGTAGACCTGTGTATTGTTCCTGTCCCTTCCAAACATAAGAAACGGGAAAACTCCTGAATTTACAATCTTCTATCCATATGAGAAAAGTTCAGTCTGCTACTGTTATGGCTGAAATGGCTTTCCTATAACTACTACTTCCATTTGTAATATTAGAGGCTTGGAAGGGTTGAAGAAGAGATGACTTGTCAAATCGGTGATCCTTTAACTTAACCATTCTTTGGTTATTCACCGTGAAACAAAACCTTCTTCTATTAATATAAAGACTATCATAAATCTACTTGGAGCTCTAAAGATGTTGGTTGGGCTTCTCGGGACTCATTTGATTCCTTTAGAGGGAATTTCCCTCTGTTGAGGAGGAAGTCATTGGAACTCAGGTTTTTCTTTGTGAAACCTCGCTTTACGCTACATCAACACTAAAGGTAGACTAGAAAGAAGTTGCCTACGTTTGTCTCTCCCTCAACCTGAGCTACTTTGCAAGTCTAATGTGGAGACTCCATGCCATTTTTCCTTCCTCTGCCCTTTTGCGTGGCAGTTCTTGAAACTTTTTTTTAGCTTATTCAATCAGCTGGGTCATTCCCCTTCCGAATGACTAGGTCCCACACTCTTATTTTTGATGTTCGTCCTTTCAAAAAGGAAGTTTTGAGCTTTTATTTGGTCTTTATTGCTTGAGAGGAACAGAGTCTTCTTGGACAAAGAAAAGCTTTTGAATTGTTCTGTTACTTCTTGTTGGTTGATATAGGCCTCTATGTAATTACCCTTTTCCTTTGTGTTAATTAAAACTCCTTTCTGAATGCTCAGCATGAGTTCTCCTTCTACATTTCATTCCATCAATGAAATTTTTTCTTAGGAAGAAAAAAGGTACGAATAATTTGCACACTTCTACTTTTATTTATCGTCTGTTATCAAACATGGCAGCTCTAAATGAAGCCTTAACCGCGGAGGTTCAGAGACTGAAGCTCGCCACAACTGATATAAACGCACAGTCTCATCCCTCGAATGGGGTAATGAATCACCATGGACTCCAACTTCAGCTTCAGCAGCAGCACCAACAGCAACAGCAACAGCAACATATGCAGCAGCAGAATGGGAGTGCAACCACAAAACCAGAGTCCAACCAATAATATTTTGTGGAACATGGATGAGCTTCACTTCTCTTTGATCACCTTGTTCATCTTTAGAAATATTCATTATTGTAAGCTAGCTTTCTTATTATTTGCATTTGTCAAATATCCACCACCCCAACACAGTCTTTCTAAAGTTGTGTAAATCACACACTTAATTTTATGCTTTATTTTCAATTATTTAGTGAATGTAGGCAATCTTTTGTTACCAAAAAAGAAGTGTACTTGATGATAAATTACTTTATATATGATATTATTTTAGAATGGGAATTCCCTTCCTTTCCTTCTGTCAAGTATCCTCCTGATCCCAACAATATTATTCAGTTCAGCTGACATTTTTGTTGTTTAACAATCTAAATCATGCTGTTTTATGTGATTTCTAGATATTTTACAGGTGATTAGGCATTTCTAATTGATGCAGATTAGTAGAACCTCTATAATCACTCACTCCAACTAATAGAGCATGGTTCCTGCTGTTTGAGCTTCCGATTCGGTAGGTAACGTAACGGATCTCATGCTATTGTCATTTATATTAAGTCACATCATCATCTAATACGAAACACTTCTATCTAATGAATTGTCCTATTGTCAAAGATTACTAGGATAACTGCTTGTGGATGATTTATTTTCATTTACTTGATTACGTCCTATCGAACGAGCAGGTTATTGGTGATTGTACTTTGAAAAGAGTCTGAAAAAATCCAACAAACATTATTAGTTGCATTTTAAACCATGATTAGGTTTACCCGTTTCTTCTTTTCCATAGAAAAATACTTTAAAGTCTTACTCAAACTCATGTTTGAGTTTTTCAATGACGTGACTTTCAAATCTCACGTAGATTTTTGTAACTTCTGTTCAATTATAAGGAAAGTATAGATAGCTTTAGTCGATGATTACAATGAAACTTTAAGAAGTATGGAGACCAAACTTGAGTCGAAGTTAAAAGTACACGAACTAGAATTATAATTTAACGAGAAAAAAGTAAAAGTAAATATCCATGTAGGATTATCCAAAACAAAAAAAAAACAAAAAAAATGAATGATTATGATTAGATTCAGAGCCTTGTTATGCATTGATAAAGCTGTCTAGATGAATTGACAAAGGATGCTTCTTATTCCAACTGTGATGCATTCATAGATTAGGTAAAGTGCATTGTGCATTTCCAGTTGTTGCTCTATTAAGATTATTTGCAAATTCACTATGCTTTAATGTTTCTTATTTAATCATTTTTATTTTCCCTTTGAGAGTTATTTTCAAAGTCGGAGCCAAAAAACCCTAACCATGTGAAAACTTTTACTCTTTTTAATTGAAAGTTGCAGGGAACAAGAATGAGAAATTGATATGAATCATGTTTCCATATCTTTTTTAAATAAAAAATAAGAAACGTAACCAAATACTTTTAATATTTATTTATTAAAAGAGAAAAAAAAAAGAAACAAAAATGCAACCAAACAAGTCCTTAAAGCAGTTTTTTTTCTTAAGTCGATCACCCAACATGAGTATCGCTCAACCAATCAATATATAATTAGTTTTTTAAAGGTCGAAAATTTGAATTTCCCACCTACTTTTACCGAATCAATCGAGACTGATAAAATTTTTTCAAATTGAACTAACCCACAACTTTTCAATTTTATACTTTAGAAATCCGAATCCATTAATATTAAACTACAAACTAACCAAAGTGACCTAGTTGAGAGTTGATGTTTTCAATTTTGACTTGCATCTTTATTTTAAATAAAAATGGTTCATAATATATTTGAGAATAATTTCACATTTTTAGTTTAATCTATTAATTATTGTTAAATTATGAGTTTCATTTATTGCCTTTCACATCTACAATTGATTTGAATTCAAGCAAAAATAATGTCACGAGTAATAATATTAGTCATTCTTTTATTTGTCTCATTACAATCATCATAAAATTGTTAAAATATTAAATAGCAATAATTGAAGGTCTAGTTGATAATAATTTTAATCTTATTTTAAAAATTAAGTTTGTTAATTAACAATTTCTTTATTTAAAAAAAATAGCAAAGCTTTAAAAATTTAAAAATAATGGTTTTTTATTTTACTTTAAATGAAATCCAAACAAATAAATGGATGATAAATAAGTTTAATTTTGAAAAGTAAAAAAAAATTAGTATGAAATGGAATTTGAAAAATATATATTTCATGTATAGTACTGTTAAAAGTATATAAATACATTCGTTAACTCCAATTATTAATTTCTCCAGTCACAAATACTATTTTGTTTAGATAAAACAATAACAAACAATAATATTTAGCCTTTTTATTATGAGACCATTTAATTTGAAAAAAAAAAATAAAAATATAGTACTAAATTATACATAAATAAACATGTAAGAATTTAAGATGGATAATATTTACACATGTTAGATAGCGATAACAAATCAGCAATTCTATAAATAGATTGAAACGATGATTCAAGACAGGTTTCGAGCTTGTAATTCTCAGAACATAAATGTGTCACCATACTACAACGAATTCAGGTAAAAAAATAGAATAAGACAGATTATGACGATATTTTAGAAAAAGTTTACGAAGTTTCCAAAGTTTAGATTAAATAGTTACCATATTTATAACATAATTAATTCATGTAAATAAATCTTGAGATAAATGGGAATAGAAACATTTTACAAGCCCATCATAGATGTCATTCTTATAGCCAATAAGATTATTGAGATTGCAAAATTGGAAAAAGTAATATCTATCAGAATTTAATGCAAATATTATAGTGGGAAAAACAAATAAATAATTGGAAACTTCATCACTTACCAAAAATTTATCTTGGGTCCCTCATAGAGTTAAAAAAAAAAAAGAAAAAGAGAGATCATAGGCAACTTATCAGTTAAAAACCTTTTTAAAAAAATTATCAAATAAACTTTATTAAATTCATGAAATTTTTTTTAACTAATGTAAAATAATCTCCTTAAAATATTTGAGATTTTTGAAATTATCAAATAAGATTTTTGATAGTTATATTTATAATTTATTATTATGAAAAATAGGGTAACTTGAAGCAATTGTTAAAACTAGTTGGTTTGAAAAAATAGTGTAATTTATTATTAAGTATGAAAAAAAAGCAAATAAGAAGCTATTGTTTTTAAAAGGAAATTAGTGCAAAGTTAGGTAAACAATAGATAAAAAAAAAACGTTAAAGTAAAATTAAGTTTGAAAAGGGAGGAAATTTGGAAGAAGTTTCCATATTAATTACCGTATATTCCAATTTCTGTCACGTCAATTTTTTGTTCAAAATAATAACGAAATATTATTCATAAGGTATTTTTGATATGCTTACGAAAGGTGAAGAGTAATATTGAAACTTTAGATAAGATAACAACAAATTTTTAGGATATTTTTTATAATTTAGCCAAAATTATACGAATCCTAACATATGGTAATTATTTTATTTTTAAGAGATTAATGCAGTTTAATATTAGAAAACAAAAATTTATTTGCTAAATTAATATTTAATAAAAGTGAAATTGGGCGATAAAAAAAAAAAGAGGGAAGCGGGTAAAGGTAAAATGCGGTCGGAATGAAATTGAAATGCACGGCAAATTCAAATTCGGTGGAAATGCAAATTCTTATTAAATTCACGCGTACGCGTCATGAAAATCGGTGTACCAGGAGTCGTCGTCGTCATCGTCGTCCCGCCGACCGTTTCTATTCTAGAGGGAAAAATCGCCGGCAACCTCGGGATTCCCGCCGGCAAATTCTCTTTAAAGCTCCCCGCTCGTTCCACACGCAAATGTTTCCATCAATGGCCGCGGAATTAAGGTTCTGAGCCTTTGCACGCCGTGCTTCGCGTCGGAGGACGAGGGTGGCTGGCTTCCGGCGAGGCCATTGTCCCCGGCTTCAACTAGGAGGTATTACTAACAGCAGTGAAGTGTCTGTTGTCGTCAATGGAGACTCATTGCTTTACTCTTGAATGTTCTGTAGCTGTTTTGTTATTGTTTCAGTGATCGTTTAGTTGAGGTTCAGTTTGTTTGTTTTAATCTGTTGCAGATTGTTAGGGTAATTGTTTGCGTTTATGATTGGGATTCAATTGGGTTCAAATTCGAACTGCGGTGGAGTTGCGTAGCTTGTGTGTGAAGGTGGTGATTTAGGCTTTTTTCTCGAGTATTATCATTCTCGGAGAGGGTAGTATGGGTGATACTGAAGATGCTAATACTGATACCATGCGAAATCTTCAATGTTCGTTTGGGGCATCTTCTTCTTCAGCTGTAAATCTTCCTTTCTCGATGGATCAGCTTAAAATTTCCCAAATGAACTGCTCACAAATCCGTCCGCAGCACTTTCAGTCGAATTTTCTTGGTGATAATAATAATAGTAGAAGAGCTGGGATACCTCCTAGTCCCAACTCACCGCAGATCCCGCCAATCTCGCCGTATTCTCAGATCCCGATCTCGCGTCCGATGAACCAGCAAAGTTTCAACCCAGTGCCTACTCATTCCCGATCGTTGTCTCAGCCGTCCTTTTTCTCGCTCGATGCTTTGCCCCCTTTAAGCCCGTCTCCATTTCGTGAGTCCCCAACTACATCAAATTCAGATCAGGTTTCTGCTGATACATCAATGGAGGATAGGGACGCCAGTTCACATTCGTTGTTGCCTCCCTCACCCTCACCTTATATGAGGGCCAATTCTTCTAAGATTGGGGATTCTCTACCCCCTCGTAAAGCACATAGGAGGTCTAGTAGCGATATTCCATTTGGATTATCTTCAATGATTCAGCCATCTCCTCTTCTCCCATTCGGTAGCTCGGGTGGATTGGAGCGATCAACAAGTAGTAAAGAGAATGCGGGCATGTTAAAGCCGGCTAGCCAGTTTGTTAAGAGAGAACCCAGTTTGGAGAAAAGCGTTGACAACAATTTGGAAGGAATGGGTGAGAGGAAATCGGATGGGGACAGTGTGGACGACCTATTTTCTGCTTATATGAATTTGGATAATATTGATTTGTTTAACTCTTCAGGGACCAACGACAAGAATGGTCATGAGAATCGGGAGGATTTGGATAGTAGGGGTAGTGGAACGAAGACAAATGGTGGTGATAGTAGTGATAACGAAGCAGAAAGCAGCGTAAATGAAAGTGGGGATAACTCCCAAATGCCTGGAATGAATTCATCTGCTGAGAAGAGGGAAGGGATCAAACGAACTGCGGGAGGGGATATCGCTCCAACTACCAGACATTACCGAAGTGTCTCCATGGATAGTTTCATGGGCAAGTTGCAGTTTGGTGACGAGTCACCCAAAATGCCTCCTACACCACCTAGTGTTCGTCCAGGACAAATTTCTTCAAATAATTTAGTTGATGGTAATTCAGGTCCATTCAGCTTGGAGTTTGGTAATGGTGAGTTCAGTGGGGCTGAACTGAAGAAAATTATGGCAAATGACAAACTTGCTGAGATTGCTCTAACTGATCCCAAGCGTGCAAAGAGGTATGTGCAAATTATCTGACTGATTTACTAACTTGGATTCATCTATTGATTTGTAATCTTGACTAATTGATTTACTTCAGGATCTTGGCAAACCGTCAATCTGCTGCTCGATCAAAAGAACGGAAGATGCGGTATATATCTGAGTTGGAACACAAGGTTCAGACTCTTCAGACAGAAGCTACCACGCTGTCTGCCCAACTCACACTTCTACAGGTAGAAATTTTGAGTGATGGCAATTATTTTCTATTTCCATTTTTGTGTTGCTAAGTTCTCTCAGATTTTCCACAATTGCTTTGTATTCAGAGAGATTCAGTTGGACTTACAAACCAGAACAATGAGCTGAAGTTTCGGCTCCAAGCCATGGAACAACAAGCACAACTACGGGATGGTATTAACACTTCTCTGAATTATTTCCTCTATTATCTGATTGAAAAGAAAGATTATCTGTTAAAGCATTGGAGTCTTCTACTTTTAATATTGCACCTGGGTTTCACTTCCAAGGCTTTAGTTATGAGATAGTATAATTGTTAACATGAGTTCATACCTCTCTCCTGTACATTGAGCTGAAATGTTGCTTGTTGTTTAACTATTGTCGTGCCTTTAAGAACTTTTATCAAGAGATGCTGGTACAAATTAGTGGGCCATAGGGTTCCTGGAGTTCATAGCTAACGCCTAGAACAGTTTCTCTTCTTAAAGTAAATAGGATACTAAAAACAAAGATCCCATATATCTCTCTTAGCGAGGGAATTAATAATTTTTTAAAGTTTAAGTCTAGTTTATAATCTCCGTTAAATTAGAGTGTATGTTCCGACGACGATACTGTAGGGGAGGTCCTGTGGAAAATTAGCTCGGCACAAGGATGTTACTCAAAACATACAAGCATCCTACCTCCCCTTCTTTCTAGCTTGTAATTTAATGTCATGGAATCTAGTATATAAGGTGTATATATACATGTTGGAAATGCCCACTCAAGTTTCAAACCATTAAACGGTTGGTTAGAATAGAATTGGGGTGTATGAAATTTCTCCGTGGATTACTCCAGTCTCAATTAGACTTATTCTTTTGGATTGGAGCTCTTTTTTCCCTTTTTGTTCGTTAACTCGGGTCTTATTTTGGCTCCTTTTGTTGGGCTGTCTGTTAGTATCCACATTTATTCTTTCGTTTTTTTCTAGTTTCTAAAAAAACAATGATAATAGTTATACTAGGTTCCATCATCACAGATATTTTAGAAAAGAAAACATTAAAAAGTGTCCGCATTCAAGTTTTCAGTCTTATCATTTACAACTTGGATTCTCAAATCTTGAAGCAATGTTGTTACTCCTTTCTTGAGTATTTATCTAGGCTGTAGTTTATCCCCGTGGTCGAATTCATCTATACTTCCGCTTTTATTTATCGTCGTTCTTTATCAAATGTGCAGCTCTAAATGAAGCCTTGACCGCAGAGGTTCAGAGGTTGAAGCTCGCTACAAACGAGTTAAACGCGCAGTCTCATCCGTCTAATGGAGTAATGCCTCAACCTACCATCAGTCACCATAGCCTCCAGCTCCAGCACCAGCAGCAGCAGCGCCATCAACAGCAACAAATGCAGCAGAATGGCAGTTCAGCCACAGAACCAGAGTCCAATCAGAAGTAGTTTGTTGAAGATGGATGAGAGCTTCATTATCTCTTTGATCACCTTGTTCATCACCATTATTGTAAGCTAGCTAAGCTTTCTTATATTATTATTTATTATTTGACATATTATTGGCATTTGTCAAATAGTATCTATCTTGTAATTCAACACAGTCCTTTTTAAAGTTGTGTAGATCACACACTTCACTTTATAATATGCTTTACTTTTAATTCTTTAGTGAATGTAGGCTACCTTGTCACCCAAAAAAGAGAAGTGTTCTTTGGATGATAATTAATTACTTTATATGTTATTTGTAGCATTTGAAAGTTTCTTTTCTTCCTCTCCCTTCTCTTAGGTTTTCTCATCTCAAGTTCGCGAAATAGTTACTCGGTTCCTTCAACGATTCAAGAGTGGAGCGAAAAAGGAGGAGGGGACAATTGTCCCTTTTTTACGTCGTAATTCAAAAAGTATATATAAAATATCTAAGATTTTGAAAGACGGGTGACAGACTGACACTAATATAAAGTTAATGATAATGTTTGAAATTATGGTAAAAATACACTTTCAGTTTTTGAAATTTGTTGTCGGTATTTATCTAGTTTATGAATTTTTTAAAAAGACACTTTAATTTATGAGGTTAAGTAGATTTGTAGGGATCTAACAKAACGTTGATTATTGAGATGGACTTGTTAACTCCTTTTCTTGTTTTGATTTATTTTAGTCATTTGTTTTGTTCCTGTACTTTTTAGAAATGGATTTTTATTCGGTATAAAATTTGTGTTGAAATTTTTGCAAATAAGAATCAAATTTGCCACTTTTAAACGTACAGGGACAAATAGATTTTTGAAATTAGAAAGATAAATAAATAAAAATTTTTTTAGACAAGATAAATAAAAAAAATTAAAAATATAAATTGAAAATATAAAGCATATTGAAATTAGAATAACCAAATAAAAAAAGTATTTTTTAGAGATTATACAAAACATCTCATTATTATTTTCAAATTCACTATATCAAATGTATTGAGTGAATGTATGTTTGACAGGTTTATTTTTAAAAACTATTTTTTGATTTTGTGATATAAACCCTCAAAGTCCTTAAAGCAATTTTCAATAAAATATTTTGAATTTAAAACTTTAAAATGCATGTACACTAAAAAAAATATAAAAACTATTATAAATATATTATTTCACATTACATAACTTATTTCATCATTATTATATTTTTAGAAAATTGGTATTAAAAGAAACTAAAACATGTAAAATATAAAATATAATAATTATATAATATTATAAACCAATAATTCTACAAATTTATAGATGAATATTATTTTAGATTAAACTAATTAACGACTTAGTAATCAATAGTTTACAAATATATTAAACAGTTTTCAAAACTCGGAGCCCTAGCATGATCCAAGTCCAACAGATTCAAACCCTTTTCACGTAACTCCCCAGTCCCCACTCCACTCCCCATTTCCCACTTCACAATCTCTCACTTTCAGTTACTCTCCTGCGCCCTAGCACAGCCTCAATGGAAGATTCCGTTCCGGCGGAGCCCACTCCTCAGTCGGCCTCCAACGGAGCTCAGTTGACGCCCGAAGAATTGGTGGCCAAGGCCATAGCCCCTGTTAAGCCACACTATCTCCGCCCTCCGCCGGTGAGGTCCTCCTCCTGTAACAACGCGAAGGACGCCGCTCCTTCTACTGCCAAGAATGATGATGCTGATAAGGCTCCTCCCTCGAGCTTGGTCAAGGAGAAGAAGTCGAAACGTCAATTGAAACGAGAGCGCCGCCAGGTTAATATGCACTCCCAACACTTTGTGTTCTTCTTGTTTTCGTCGACGTAAGTGTTGCTTGGAATCGAGTTGAAATTCCACGGACGGATTCGTTGCTTTCTGGAATTGATGGTTCATGGTAGATTTAAACACTATGAAATACTTATGAACGATCCTGATATTTACTAGTTAGATATACAATTTTTGTTGAAAAATGATTCTAAAGTATAAATTATAGTCTCTTTGATAAAAGAGCGAGGTACACTTTGGTCACTGTATCAGTTCTGATCTTTCCAGGAACAAAAGTCCACCCGACACTTGTGTCCTGAAATAGCGAAGACAGGAGATGTTAGTTCATGTCGTTATAGTGATAAATGCCGCTTCAGCCATGATATTGAAGCCTTCAAATCTCAGGTAGTCGTGTTGTAAATCTCACTTCTAGCTCATTTTTTATTCAACAAATTTATTTGTCTCAAAGTAATTAGTGATTTGACCTTTATTGTTGACTAGAGGTTTATGATCTCAGAAACCGGCTGATCTCAATGGAGAGTGTCCCTTCAGTAGTGCTGAACAACTTTGCCCCTATGGTTTAGCTTGTAGATTTGCGGGGACGCATAAGGAAGGTGTTCCTGCTGGTTCATCAATTAACTTGAAGAAAAGCTCTGAAATGAATGGACTGAATAAAGATGTTCAAAAGCTCTTATGGAAAAATAAGATGAAATTTCCCAAAGCTGATTCCAAACTCAAAGAACTTGGGCTCTCGGTATGACCAAAAGGCACGCTCTGTATCTTTTTGGGACTTATATTTGTCATTGGATGTGACACAATAATTTTATTTTCTTCTCACGATACATTGTTACTTAAAGCCTGTCCATGTAGTGCTTTGTTTTTGACTAGATAAGGGAGCTTTTAATCAACACAGTGTGATGGGTGTAACAGATGCCTTACTCTATTACTCATAATGTAGTCTGTTTCCATCGCAAAATAATACATTGTTGTGATTTTGGTGCTGTTAGGGGCATGGGAAGTCAAAATTGAGGGTCAAAGAAGACAAGGAGGATGTTGTATCAAATGATTCTGTTGTTCCAGACAGAACTTGCTGTAGCAAAGTGAACGATGACTCGGACGATGACTTAGAGATCGTTGTGGAAGTTTCAGAAGAGAATGGGCTAAAAGAAGGAACATTTTCATCTGATGAATCTCGACCCCTGAAGAAGCCCAAATCTATGACTTCAGAGAATTTTCGTTCTGATCAAATTGACAATGGAGGTCTATAAAATTTCCTTCATTTATTTTTGGTTGGGAGGTGTTTATCCCCACTCTTGCTTTATCTTGTACTTTCACCTACCTTTTGTTATTTATATCTCTATTGTGTGCTTGTGCAACAGGTGCATGTATGGCAGAGAAAGCTTTTGGTGAGAGCGATACACAAATTGAGTCTGAAGTTATGAATGACAGTGTCATTCTTGATACTGATGCAAGTCTAAAACCACACCCCCGTGAAAAAAAGCTTATTGATTTTAGAGATAAGCTGTATCTTGCCCCTCTGACCACTGTTGGGAATCTGCCCTTCAGAAGAGTTTGCAAAGTTTTAGGAGCAGACGTGACATGTGGGGAAATGGCAATGTGTACAAATCTTTTGCAGGTTGTACAGCTTTTCCTTGGGTCTGCAGAAATTTATATTAATAAAGGATTCTTAATTGGGTCTGCAGTAACTCGTTAATGATTTTTCAGTGTCATATTCTGTAAGATGAGTTAAATTAAACCTTCTTTTATATTATTAGTCTCATGTGGTATAGGGTCAAGCTTCAGAATGGGCATTGTTGAGACGACACTCCTCAGAAGATCTATTTGGTGTACAGATATGCGGTGCATATCCAGACACAGTTTCACGTGCTGTGGAACTTATAGACAAAGAATGTGTGCTTGACTTCATTGACATAAACATGGGATGCCCAATTGACATTGTTGTCAATAAGGGTGCTGGATCAGCTCTGCTTACAAAGCCAATGCGAATGAAAAGTGTGGTCGAAGTAGCTTCAGGAATTGTGGATACGCCCATAACAATTAAGGTATCGTGTAAATTTGTGTACTTATATCAACAAAATGATCAAAATTTATTGGTGAAGTTGCTTTTAATTGAAGTTATTGGCACCTTACATTTCCTTCTTTTCTTTCCATACGTTTTTACATGAATTAGTGATGACCTCTCAGGAGATTTTAGGTGGGTGAAGTGAAACAGGAAATGAGACAGGCAAATATTTTTGGATAATTTAAGTGGCTAAATGCTAAAAGGAGGATTAGCATTTATAATATGGAGAGGACTGCGAAATTATTTAATTCATAGTTTTACAATGCAGTGAGACTAAAATTATGGTTAAATGATTGTCGGAAAGACATTCCCTTCACGTATCGGGATTTGAGACTTTTTCCCCTTTCTTTCTTTCAAGGTCATGACTTAAGATTTGACAACCTTTTACAGTATCATCAAGTTGGTTTACCATACCTTGCGCACATTTGAGATTGGTTGTATGTAATTAGTGAATGACTGAATGTAGTAAAAAGGATTTGGTTTTCTTGTTTCACATTCAGAAGATTGAATTCTAGGAATTGAGTTGACAGATGTGCTGTACCTTGATTTTTGGAAGGCGGACCACTGTACTGGTTTACATGAGGATAGTGAAAGAGGTGGTTACTGGATAATTCTGGACCTTTCTCTGCCAACTCTCATTTCGTATTTTTCCCTTTAAGGAGAAGCCTCTTCATAGCTCCCGAACGTAAGAGGTGTTAGGAAGATGAGAGATCTCAAGAAGCTTAAAATTTTCATGTGGTCGCTGGTCCTGGGAGATAGCAATGCGGCAAACAAGTTGCAGAGAAAGATTACCTAATAGTTGCCTAAACCCGTCTTGTCTAAAAATAGTCAGAGATCAGTCTTTTTTCTTGTTTATTTGTGAAGCAGGTTTTCCATATGGATTGTTGGTCTTTCCCTGGTGGATAAGGAACGGTTTCATGATATGGACTACGAGGAAAGATAATCCAAGCATAGCTGATTGATAAATATATTAATTAGCTTCCTTTAGTGTTTTTTTTTTCCGGTAGAAAACATTAAATAGAATGTAAGTACTAAAGAGTGCCACACAAAAAATGGGGTTCAACGAAAATATGACGCTCAAAAAGCAAATAACTACAAAAGCTCCAAATTTTATTTTAACTTTGTATAGTATTGAAGAGAGTTATATTTTTATGAACGGCAACATGTTATTTTTTGTATTTTTTGGGATGGGGAATTGAGGGCGGAACTACTATAGACTTATGTTGGTATTATATATTTTTGTTATTTACTTGATCTCCAAGTTTTTCAATTTGTATTATTGTATTTTTCTTGCACTAGGTTCGGACTGGCTACTTTGAAGGGAAAAATCGTATTGATTCACTTATTGCAGACATCGGTAACTGGGGAGCCAGTGCAGTAACCATTCATGGCCGTACTCGTCAGCAACGATACAGCAAGCTTGCTGACTGGGAATACATTCATCGGTGTTCCACACTAGCTCCTGATTCTCTGCAGGTAATAGGAAACGGGGACGTTTTTTCATATTTAGACTGGCATAGACACAAGGATGAGTGCCCAAAGTTAGCTACATGCATGATTGCGAGAGGAGCACTAATTAAGGTTCGCAGTTTTTTGAATCTCTTGTTCATGACATTCACCTTTTTTTTAAATTTTCCCTTTAAAAGCTTCAACTCAGTTTACGTTAATGTTGCTATTGCTATCATTTATTGTCCTGTGCAGCCTTGGTTATTTACTGAAATTAAGGAACAGAGGAACTGGGACATTACTTCAGGGGAGCGGTTGAACATCTTGAAGGATTTCGTACATTTTGGACTCGAGCACTGGGGTTCCGACACAAAAGGTACTTCGCACATTCAAATTTAACCATGGGAATTCCTTACGTATATCATATATAATATATATCAAAAGTCTTGTGATAAGAAACAAAATTTCCGCTCAGATACACTTGTGAAAGAGTAGAATGAATGAGCGATACAAAAGTCTAAACTTGGTTCAATCTTGAAATAATCATCTGGGCTTCTTCAATCGGCTTTTATTGGTTTACTCCTACTACTCATCTCTTGCATTCTTTCTTCCTTTTGTTAAATCTGCAGGCGTTGAGACGACGAGACATTTCTTATTGGAATGGCTCAGCTACACATGTAGATACATACCAGTTGGTCTTTTGGACGTTGTTCCCCAACGTCTGAACTGGCGCCCGCCATCGTATTTTGGCCGTGATGACCTCGAGACGCTCATGGCCTCTGACTCTGCAGCTGATTGGGTATGCAAGCATTTAACAGTTCACCAGCAAATTTGTCTGGCTAGAACAAGCCATAGGAATTGAGTCATATTCTCCTTCCATTTTTGCAGATTAAGATATCAGAGATGTTGCTTGGTAAAGTTCCCGATGGCTTCTCGTTTGCACCGAAGCACAAGTCCAACGCCTACGACCGGGCCGAGAATGGCTGATTCTTCACTGTAAGGGCGATTCTGATCACTGCTATTCAAATTCAGTCTCCTGGTTTACATTTAACTGAGACCTCTCAAAAGTGCCATTGGTAATGGTTTGGTGTTTAAATCATTGGTTTAAGAGGGAGCTCATTTAGTTATTTCACAATTTCTTTATATATTTTATGTTACCATGGCAATTACATTACTTGATAAATCTGGTGACCTGCCCTTTCAGCAGAGCTGTTAAATTATTGTTATTATTATTATTATTATACAATTTTGTCTACTTGAAAATCATACTTGAAAATCATTCTGTTAAACTTGTTTTTGAGTTAACTTGAACACATCTGAATTTATTGCTAATTAAAAAACAATACACTTTTTTATTTTTATTTTATTTTATTCAATAGTTATTTTTATGAAGTTTCTTAGAATATAATTTTCCATGATAAAGATTGATTCTGAGTTAGTGATTAATGTTCTTAATTTTATTTTAATAAAATTTTCAATAACCATGACTAACTTAAGTGAAATGAATTGAGTTGAGTTCATTATTTAGAGTTTGATTTAGGCTTCGTTTGCTTCAGGAAAATTAAAAGTAGAAATTTGATTTTGCAATCGATTAATTAGAATTTTTTTGCAATTTTACTCATTTGTTTATTTATACTATTAATAATTTTTCTTCTAATAAAATAATCATACTAATGATAGTTGTTAAATGAAAGTTATATAAACCCTTCTTACTTGATGTAATTTTATTTTATTTATTTATTAATATTTATCAATGAAATAGAAATAAAATAAATTAAAATTTATTACTATTTTAATTGAAAGAAATATTAGTATACTATTTAGTTAATATATTTGTAATTTGCTACAAAAAAAAGAGTACTCAAATAGTTATCATATATTTAATTTATATTCCAATTCCGGATAGTTTCAGKAAACATCAATATATTTCTCATTGGATTCTAAAAAATTTAGAGTCACCAACATCAAATAAATATCTTCATTCCAATTAGTTTCATTTCAATTTCTTATCATTCTGATTTATGGTAAATAAACATGTTCTTAGTAAAAAAGTTTGATTAAAAAATGAAATTTATTATAAATAATAATAAGTTTTTTTCTTTGGACAACAAATGTGGAGTGAAAATTGACTTTTGTAGATTGAAAGATAACGAGGACAACGATCTTAAGTGTATAATTAAAAGATATACGTCAATTAACATCGAACCATACTTGCTTTGACATTTAAATAAAATACATTAATTCTCTCGTTGGTTTAAAAATTTAAATTATATTTGCAACGTTTATATACTTGGGAAAAAAAAGCTAAACAAGCTCATGTGGACCAGAGCGCACTGGATTAAACCCTTGACCGCTGTGAAGAAGTCAGAGTTGCGAGTCTAAACCTCCAAATTCGTAGGGCTCATTTCTCAAAATCGGCTTYTGGTTCTGAGGAACAGATTCTTCTCTATTTGTCTTCAGAAAATCCTCTGATGGCGCTTCCTCCAGGCCCTTATTCTGGAACCAGCACTCTCGCTTTGGTACGTACATCTTGCTTTCCGATCCATACCTAGAAATGTAGAAATTCATCACAAGTCGAAAATGCTATATGCGAGATTTGATTTTAGATAAAATTGATGGAAAAATGCTCAAATTAAACGCTTTTGTGCCCTGGCAGGTTGCTCGTGCTTCCGCCTTCTCTTTTGGACTCGTCTACGGAAGCTTCAAGCTCAAGTACCTTCAGGTTCGTTGCTTCCGTTTCCTTTTCGTACTCTTTAGTTTTATGCCGCAAAACTTAGGCTTATTGACTTCGGAGTTTGATTGGATTATAGCTTGAATATTAGTATCCCTATCGGTACCGTAGTGCTATCTGCAATGTATAGTCGCATTCTAGATATTGGAATTTTTTTGTTACAATTTCTGGCAAATGCTGCTGTTATCCTTGAAATATTTGTTCATTTTTAATCTCAATCTTTTCTCTTTTTTGGAAGAAGAAAATAATTTAATAGATTCAGAATTTAGTGTAGTTGCAAAGCTATCCAGTCAAGGGAATTAGGAAACGAACTATCCAGTTGACTTCAACGTCGGAAGGGGAATAGTTTCAAAACTTCCTACAAAGAGCACTGTCCAAAACCAATAGACAACAACGCTATCTACATTCACTGGTAGAATTGATAAGTTCTCCAACAGTTCACCAAATTCTTTCCCCCTCCATCCAGATGCCCCAAAGCACCACTTTATCTTGTTTTAAGAAACCCATACCTTGAAGACAGCAGTTTCAGTGTTTTACATAGTAGAAACAGAGGCGCATGATGGAAAAAGGTGATCTGGGTCTGTCTTTTTTTGACGAAGAATGCACTAAGAGGGTGATATAAAGACAAGTTTAGAATCTTTTATTGTATTCTATCCCAAGTCCTTGCCTTACTATTGAAGGAGAGTCCCAAAAAGGAAAAAGAATCTAATTTTTTCATGGATCTTCCACTTCCATTTCAAGTGCATGATACCTTTGGGGGTGGCCTTGAGAATATTTTTAATACGAGTCTGAATGAAATTTATTTAACAATTTGCAAAGGTTATTTGTTATTTCAATTACTAAAAGGACTCCCTTTTGGCTTTTAGGGATATCTCATCTCCCCTTCTTGTCTTTTTCTCTTTTGATCATGAAAGTTGTGTTTCCTATGTTAAAAAAAAATAAGAACAGAGTTTGGTTTTTGAACCTTAATACAAATTCTTGCAATAAACTAAGCTTGGTCTTGGGCTATGTTTATTAATTTCCATTAGCACACTTATTGACGACCAATGATTTATTCTCCTATTTGTAATCAATTGGAGGCTCTAAATTATAGTTTATTTAAAGTTGATATGTGATGGGACACCTGGCCACCCAATATGTTCTATATGTTTTGTTTTTTTTGGATAACCATGAGTGCTAAGGCTTGTTTGCGCTAATATTATAGGATAACTGCTAGATCCTATCATATTTGGTTGCCAAGGACTATAATTTTAATTCCTAAGTAGGTGGCCACCCAGCATACCAAAAGTTTAAATGGAGCTAACTTATCCAAATAGACTGTTGGTTCCTTAGTCATGAGTTGTGACTTGTGCCCATTTGAAAAGAGTGGAAAGAAATTATTTGATAATTCACCATTTTACGTGGTATATGGCTTTATTGGTTTTCATTTCAATTCTGTTTCCTATCCATTTCGTGTGGCATCTTTGATATCTGTTGCTGTAAAGATTTGCTAATGTGATGTGAACTTCGTAATTTTTTATAACGAGGAGAGGTGAAGGGGATAGCTACTGACCATCATGGGTGGCTCATTGGTCCAAAGGGGCTAGGGTAATTAAGAGGGAATGGGTTCAAATCCCATGATGGCCACCTACCTTAGGAATTAGTAATTCCTATGTGTTTCTCGACATCAACTGTTGTAGGGTCAGGCGGTTACCTGGTGAGATTAGTCGAGGTACGCGTAAGTTGGCCCGGACACTCATGGATATTAAAAAAAAAAAAAACTTATAATCATTATGATCTTAAAATCTCATGTTATTTGTGGCTCTCTTTTGAGGCTATTCTAAACGCACCTGTCTGATTTTATAATTATACCTCATTTCCTATTTTATCACTGCAGGCGAAGGCAAAATCTCACAAGAAAGCCGAAGCAAAGGCTCATCACTGAGGTATGGGCTGATTCCATTCAGCGTCAAAACTGAGACACCAGTTAAATTCGAAAGGGAAATAATACATCGTAGTTGGTCACGATAATTTTTTCTTAAAATTTTTTTTTTGTTTTGTTTCATGTTGCAATGGATGGCTCTATATTCATCGAAGAGTCATGTAGATGTATCTAACCTCGGTCTTGATGACCTTATTCGAGTTTCAATTAGTTCTGATGGATGAATGAGAGGACTGTCAGATCATGATTCCTTTCTTTGATTAAAATGAATAATTTGTTTGTCATCTTTCTTGATGCAGAAGGTGCCGTGTTAATTCATTAATGTTTATCCGTCTTTATGTATGGTCATAGATATAGGGCTATTGGTAATCTATATTATCAAGGATGAACTATTTCAATTCAATCGGTTCAAGAGTAGAGCAGCATTTGCGACAATATATTAAGAAAAATATAGCTTTTAAATAAATGATCGAAATATGTTGTTATTGAATTTTTGTTCTAAATACGGGAAAATGGAGCAGGTAGGGGAAATAAGTTCAAATATTTGGTGGCCAAGTAACCAGGTATGATATTAAAACCTATTATAAGTTATATCACAATTAGATGCGGTAGGATTATGCAGTTGATTCACGAAAAGGGTTTGACAGTTGATCACGAAAAAACTCAGGAACAGGTTATAGGTATGATATTAAAACTTATTATAAGTTGTATGACAATTAAATGTGGTAGGATTAGGTGGTTGATTCATAAGAAGGATATGACGGTTGACTCATGAACACTCTAGTTGCTATGAATATAGAAGTTTCTTTTTCTTCTAGATTCTCATAACAAAGGTGCCATGCATGCTTGAAGTATGGTGTTGGTATAATTGTTTGTCTTAATATCTCAGGAGGTGTTTGGTCTATTGAGCTTCAGAGTTCGAGTGGAGTTTATGTAGGTTGGTGGTAAGAAGTTGTGATTTGTATTGTGTAGCTTGTGTTTGGATTGTGTAGACAGACTAATGAACTTAAAGCTAAAGAAACCTACCTTTTTTATTTAAAGGTGTAGTTTGAGAGGTAGAATATACAAGTTTGAATTTATGTAGCTGATTGGAAATTCATTCACAATCTATTTAATGTAGGTTTAGTTTTTCAATTCCAAACCTCGGATATTTGGGTCTGTGAATCCAATCCAATTATTTGGGAAGAGAGGGTGGGTTTAGTGTTGACAGTGCCTTAGCCTTTGATTCTATGATCTGAAAATCAGCACAACACATTAGGGTTAAATTCCAACAAAATTGTCATGTCTGAAACACTGAGCTTGCTGCTTTGTCGGTGTCTTAATTCCAACTTCCAACTTCCAAGGATATGAAATGGAACCATATTAGGTTAATGGTTGTTCTTGAAGTCAATCCTCAAAGAGAGCAACAAAATCTCATATTTTCATTTTTCACCGGGTATGGGGGTGTCTACAATTGGATGTTGTTCAAATTTGTACTTAAAAGTCTGTCGTTTGGTACTTTTTATGCTTCAATTTGAAAGTGATGCATTTTGACAGCTTTATGTCTAGATGATTGTTCATTCAACCAGAGTGAGAAATGAACATGATGAAATTTTATTGAAGTTAGGTAATATAGAGTTTTGGTCTGTCTTTGTAAGAATTTTTAAATCATTGATGTTATTATAAATACCCGTTGTGTTTCACTACGTCACACACACTCAAGTCGTGGCATTCAGTGGTGTAGGTGGACGAGAGCTTTTACATCGGTAGAATACTTCGTTTGAATGAAAGCATCAATGCTTAGTAACCAGTTTTACAGGTTGACGGTTTGAATTTCTACCTTTTGCATTACGAAAGGGTTAAATTATGAGTCTACTCATGTGTATTTGTTAGAGCTGTTTGTTAGCATGGATACAAGAGCAAATTTCTTGAACTTCATAATTTTCCTACTTGATTCTTCCAAGTTCCAATAAAGCTGCTGCGCATGCCTATGCATTCAACCCATGGGACAACACAAATCTACCATTAGGACACTGATGATAGCTTAAACCATGTTATCAAATAATATTTTTACTTACTTTGAGTATTGTGTCCATTAGTCTCTAGTTTTTGACCATTTGATATATGAAATTTGAGATTGAGATCATAGTCCTTGAGATTTGATAAACGGTTAGTAAAGTGAGTTGACTGTTAGCTTACGTTATAGATCGAACACGTCTCCCTAAATATTTTATAGCTTTGAAGGGGAGAATAAGCAAAATGGAGCAGATATTTATGGGGTTGGTCTGTTTGTTTAGTTTAGTTGTTGACTTTGATGGTGAGGAAGACAATTGAACACATGAGGGTTAATTTCAATAAATTGCCATGTCTGAAACACGGGGCTTGCTTTTGCTTTGTCTGTGTCTGTAACTCCAAGGATATGAAATGGAACCATGTTAAGATATGGTTGTTTTTTGAGGAAAGATTTGAAAATCAAACTCAAATCTCAAAAGGATGTCCACATGTTGTTCAACTTTGTTCTTCAATCTGTCGTTTGGTGCTTTTATCCTTCAATTTGATGCATTTCACAGCTTTTGTTTTCATAAATCGGGAGGGCGGATCGGTGGATTTTGTTTATCGTATCTGGTTTTACACGGAAATGAGAAGCCATAGTTATTATTGCGGATCAATCTATTGGAGAATTGGACACTGCTTAACCAGTCCTACATCCTAGGGATGAAGGGTTGGGAGGTATATTTTGAAGTCCTCGAACCAGAAAAAAAAGAGGGGTAGGCCCTGTTGAACTCTTACTAATTAGAAGAATTTATTCGTATAAATGACAAAATGTAGTGCATGTTCCAAATTGTGGCTACAACTTTCTCTATTGACACGTTGAACAGTAAACTTTTGGTTTAATCCAAGATGATTGTTAATTGGTCACGGACTGTGAAAATGTATCGGCGTAAACTTAAAGTTTTGGACATGGACATGTTGAAAATTGAAAATTTTAAAGCATTGGGAATGAAATTGAAACATAGTATATACTTGATCTGAAGCCAATTAGAAGAAAATTGATTTTTGGGTTAGATGTTCTCTCTCTAGCGAGGAATGTATAAAGAACCAAATCAAGATTAAAAATATGATAATGTTGAAGCATTTTGAACAACATTCAAAGGGCCATGATTAATTTGTCTCTAATCAAGTAGTGTTAATTATTATAACCCCAAAAGAGTGATTAGTGATATATTCCTTTAATTAGGTGCCTCAATTAGTGGAAACATAGACATTAGATTCTCTCTCTCTAATTCTTCACCATTATAATTTGAACAGTTCATGAATGAAGAAGCACCTTGGGTAATTAATTAATTAATTAATTAAAACAGAAAGTAATTAACTAACTTTAGAAAGATTATTTGAACACATTAAAATAAGTTGAATTTAAAAAGTATTTAAATTAGTAAGATCCAAAATTAGATTAGCCAATGTCTAATCTGATAAATGAAGTATGGTCCCATCATATATTCCCTAAATCTTCCAATGGGTTTTAAAAATTCCAAAATTAAAAAAAAAAAAAAGATTACTATTTTGTGTTGTGTTAAAAACAAAACCTCAAGCAGACAAGACATCGTGGGAGTTGGCTAAAAAGGAAAAGAAAAGAAAAAAAAAAATTATATGAACACCCAACAAATTCATATATGTCTCTTTCAATGCTTCATTTAACTTTCATGCATGTGAAAATTAATAATAATTACTAACAAATCACTTCAGATCTATTTGATTGTGGGTTATGTTTTGGGATTAATTATTACTAATTTTATTGTTTTGTCATTTTTTGTTCATGAGAAAAAGTTAGATTCTTTTTAGGTTAAAAAAATATCATTATTTTGGGTACTCGTTGAAGCAATGATTTAGTCTTCGAATTTTAATCTGTAATGATTTAGTCATTGTATTTTTAAATTGGTAAAAATTTAGTTTATGAACTTTTGTATGTAAGTTTATAACAATATAGTCTCTATTATGAAAACTTTTGTTAAGATTTAATGTAGCTCGATAAATTGATGAGGAACCAAATATATTTACAAATTGCAAAAAGACTAATCGTTATAGGATAAAAATAGATCCTTAAGTTTGATTACATTTTTTACGAGAAGGATTAAATTGTTATAAATTTTAAATTATAGAGACTAAATGTTACATACTAAAGTTTTAGGGGCTAAATTATTACAATTTAATAATATAGGGACTAAATCGTTATAAACTAAAATTTAGAGTCTAAATCGTGAGTTCAGTAAAAGTATAGAAACCAAATGTGTTTTTTAACATTTTTTAATTACGATTTTGTTTTGTATGTAAATTGAAATTAAGTTAAATAAGAGAAGAAAATCTTATAATGAAAGAATTCTATAGAGATTTTTTAAGATAAGACTTCATCATATTGTTAAACTAAAACTCTAAGTAGACTCAAATGACCTTGTTTAGGGCAAATATATATTTTAATCTATAATGTTTAGGTAATTTTTTTTCTTCTAATATTATATAATATATATTTTTTAATTATACATTTTTGTTGATAATTGTTAAAATTGAATGATTATAAACTTATACAACATAATATTTAGTGTTTGACAGAGATTTAGAGGAGAAATTAGATCATTTAAAAGGTGAAAATCCAAATTTCTACCAAATTTTAAAACTTTACAAAAGAATTAAAATAATTTAGTTCATAAATGATCTAATTGTTCTCCCTCTAAATTTCTACCTATTCACTAACGTAAGTTTATCATCATTCAATTTTAACATTTACCAATAGAAAGAGTACTACTAAAAAAATGTTACAACATTAAGAATTAAATTCAAAACTTTTTAAACATTTATGAACCAAAAGATATGTTTTTCTAACTAGGAGTGGGAGCTTTGCTTCTTATACTCAAATGCACCCATCCTAAGATCAAAACCTAAGATCAAAACCTAAGAGATATTAATGATTTTTGATATTAAGCTCACCGAAAAGCTCGAATTTGGGACCTGTAAGCCGGTAGGACCAAAGACCTCAAGTCCTTGCCAATGGCATTTTTCTACCTCACAATTAGTGCCTTTTTTTTTCCCTCTATATGTTCTTTCCTCCTTCATGGTTCACAAATTACTCAAATTTTTTGACTCATAAGAATTATTAACCCATGTTCCATGTTAAATTACTATGAAATTTCAGTTTTGTGTCTATAATCGGTTCCTAAACTTAAAAAAAATTTCCAATTGGTCTGCAAACTTTCAATTTTGCATTTAATAGATCCTTGACTTATTCTAATTTTTTTCTTAAAAAAAATTCTCAGATTCATTAGA